TAATTGTAGAGGAGCTAGAAAGAATAAAGCTTCTATATATCTTAAGGAGTTTGTGAAAGAGTGTGAGGTTGTTTTTGTGGTTTTGTTGGAGACTAAATTAACTTCCATTGATAGGAAGGGAGTTAATTTGCTTATTGGTTTGGATTGAGACTTTTGTTATTTTCTCTTTTATGGTTTGTCAGGAGGCATTTTGGTTCTTTGGAAGTCTAATTTGGCTTCTTTTACTATTTTGAAATCATCTTCTCAATGCATTATTGGAGAACTTAATATTCATAATAAGGGAATTGGAGGATTTCTTTTGCTTATTGGAGCAAGGAAGTTCATAAAAGAAGGGAGCTTTAGAGGGATACTAAAGAATTTTCATCCAAAGATATTTCTTTGGTTATAGGTGGGGATTTCAATTGTTTATTGGCCAAAGGAGATAAAAAGGGGGGAAAGAGAATTATTTTTTCTGAAGGTTCTGAGGAGATGAAGACCTTTATAACTAATAATGACTTTCATGAAGTCGGATTTGTTGGTCCTAGATTCACTTGGTGCAATAACAAAGTTGGTGGAGCTCATATCTGGGAAAGATTGGATAGGTGTTTTCTTAACTCTTTGGTGATGGATTCTTCTCAATTGGTGGTGGTACGTCATCTTACAAGAATAGCTTCGGATCATTGTCCTATATTGATTAATCTACTGGAACATATTCCGAAGACCAAGAAAAATAATAGATTTGAAGAAATCTGGACTTCTTATCATGCTTCAGTTGGAATTATTTCTAAAGCTTGGAATATGAAAGCTTTTGGGAACTATTCAGAAATTCTTAATACAAAATTTAAAAGAACATTATAGTCTCTATTTTTTTGGAGTAAAGCTAAACTAAAAAGATATGCATATGTTGAAAGATTGTCTTAAAAGGGAGATTATGGAATTACAAATGGAGGAATCTTTGGAAGGGGGCCTCTTAGAAGATAAGGTGTTGCTGCTCAGATCTAAAGTTAATGAGTTGAATAGTACCTTGGCACGGTTAAACTCATGGTGGAGGCAGCGAGCAAAAGTTCATTGGTTAACAAATGGTGATAATAACTATAGATTTTTCCAATCGTATGCTAATGCTAGAAGGAACTCTAACTGGATTTTTATGATTAAGAATGAAAGGGGACTTATGTTTGAAGATCAAGATCAAATAAAAGATTTTTTTTTTGTTTTTCTATAATAAATTGCGTCATACGAACTTCCTGTTGGATGGTTGGCCTTCCCCATTGACAGTGCTTGATGATAAAGACAGGGTGAAGCTTGAGGCTGAGTTTTCTTTGGAGGAAATTATGGGAGTGGTAAGTGAACTAAAGGGACACAAATTCCATGGTATTGATGGTATATCAAACTCTTTTATTAAGAGTTATTGGCTAATTATTAAAAAGGATGTATGTAATATATTACATCAAGTATTTTCTATGGGTACTATGGATGTTAATTGGAAGGAAAATGTTGCGGTGCTTATTCCTAAAGTGGAAAATCCAGTGGTATCGGCTAATTTCAGGCCTATAAGCTTATGTAAGACAATTTAGAAGTTGGTGGCCAAAGTTCTAGTTAATAGAATATATGGTATTATTCCAAAGCTCATTTCCAAAAAACAAGCTGCATTTTTTAAGGGGAGGTCTATTTCATAAAATATTTTGCTGGCTTAAGATGTTTTCCATACATTAAAATTTTCTAAGGCATCAAAAGGCTTGGTTTCTTTCAAGATTGGCATGGAGCAAGCATATGATAATATGGGGGTGGTCCACTCTTAAGCAAGTATTAAGGTATTTTAATTTTCCATTAAAGTTTTCCAAATTGATTTTGGAATGTGTGGATAATGCTAAATTTTTTGTGTTGATTAATGGAAAGTATTATAAGTGGATTGAGGCCAAAAGTGGGTTTAGGCAAGGTTGCCCATTATCCCCATTTTTGTTCATTTTATGCTCTCAGCAGCTATCTATGGCTTTTATTTAAAAAGGTAACATGGTTGGTATCAATCTTCGTCCAAATATTCCTAGAATTTCTCATTTAATATATGCAGATGATATTATCATATTTTCTTATGCTACGATAAAGATGGTGAAGGAGGTGAGGAATATTCTTATGAACTTTTGTAATTGGACTGGGCAGTGTATTAATTATCAGAAATTTGTAGTTCTATTTGGCAAAACTGTCAAGAAAAGGAAGAAAAATACGATAGCTCGTCTTATGGGTCTTAAACTAGTTAAAGAGATGCCTATTTTGGTGTGAAAATTGCTTTGAGAAGCCTCATTCGTGTTGATTTTCAGTTTATCATAAAAAAGACATTGTGAAGATTAATGCTTGCGGAAGTGAATATGGGGGGACGTGGACTTTATTCTTGTGTGAAGAAAGTGGGTCATCTTAGAGCAAAGCTAGTATGGAATTTATGTACTGAGAACGATTCTTTGTTCCATAATATGTTATATACAAGGTACGGGTTGAGGAATGCTTACTCTGGTTCGAAGAAAGGTTGGTCAGCTGTAGGGAAGATAGTAGCAGATGTTGCAAAGGCTCTCGATCTTTTAATCAGATGGAAGGTAGCGGATGGTAGGTATGTTAATGTTCTCAATGATGATTGGTTATTAGATAAGATCCTTCTTAAGTGGCCGACATTTGTTTCGATTCATGTAGAATATCATCGGATGTTGGATAAGTTTATTTCAAATGGGATTTGGAATTTAGAGCAAATTTAAAATTTCTTTGGTGAGGACCTAATTGTGCTAATCCGTAATAATTATATTTATCTTGAGCTGGTTTAAAATCAAATGGTGCTCATTCATAAAAGTTATGGTAAAACTATTTCTGCTCTTGCTTCTGAAGTTTTGGTTTGTCATTCTCCTATGTATCATTTTTGAAATTGGATTAAAAAACTCAAACTGAATCTGCGTGTGAAAATTTTCTGGTGGAGGATATTCTATAAGGCCATTCCCACTTTTCAATTTTTGATGCATAGGAGATTGAAAGATAACAATATTTGTCCTAGAGGATGTTTGGAAGTTGAAGATGAGGAACATTTGGTGGTGAGGTGTATGAAATTGGTGCAGGTTATTCAACTCTTGACTAAATGGGGTTTTCATATTCCTAATTTTCACTCTTAATGAATGCTATGAATGGTTGGAACAAAATGCTTTAAAACATCTCGTTCCTTGTAGAATTTATTGTACTGTGGTTTTTCTATCATGGAAGTCGAGGAGCATAGCAAATGAGAATATGGTGGAAATGAAGATAGTAGTTTGGTCATTGCTTCTAGCATAGTTAGTATTACTCTTTAATCTTTTCAAAAACAAAAAAACAAAAACAAAATGTTCTACCAATGATTGTTAACACCAACAAATGGTGCACATACAAAATTATACTTATTGAGCTTGTTGCTAGTATAAAAAATCAACACATCTCCAAAATAATCATAATCTATCATGTCTATCCCACCAATCAAGTAAAAATTTAACAATATATCATACTCATCAATTTGAACATCACATGTAAACATGTGCTCCGCTACTTGTCAATATTTAAATAATTGAATCAAAGAATTAGTGTCACCAAATTCAATATTTGCTCTTTTCTCATTCTGAATAAAATTGTAGGCATCCCTCTTAGAGAATCCAACATTCTCATATCCTCCAACTTCCTTTGCAAGGTAGCCTTATGCATCAACTGTTCTAATTCCTACATCTGTCATTGATTTTAGGACGAAAGCTTTTTCCTCAATAACATTCCTACATGATCTCAGAAGGTGAAGGTCGACTAGCCTAGCCAAGTCATGGTTGTGGGATTTAATAAATCTTTTGACATGCCAGTAACCACCTTCATCAACTGCAAATCTCTTCATAGATGTACAACCGATTCTAACTTCTGGTTTTGTAAATTTCTTTTTTAAATTCAGATCAATACTCCTCTTGAAACCAGCTTTTGAATAGACAAAATACTTAGATTTTATCTTCCTAGAGTTTGACCAGTAACTGTGATGATCCTTCTGGAAGCTAAAGCCATTATTATGAGCATAAGTACAGTAACATTCATATGCTTATCTCTCATCTTTATACAATGTCTGAAATAAGAAGTAAAGATAAAAAAAAATGCACCAAAAGCACAACCAAAGTGCAACCAAAGCACAACCAAAACACAATCAAAATGCAACCAAAGTACAGCCAAAGCGTAATTAAAATGCAACTAAAGATCATCATCTTTATCTTTACCAACCCTAAAAATAATGATGCTCTTTGTCTTAAGTAAATTAAAACATTAATGGCAGCTGAACAACAACATCGCAGGATATGAGAAGAGCTTATTTACTTTTTTTAACACACTTCTAAGAGCCTCTATTGAGCGAAAACCGACTGAGCATTGTTGTCCTTTTTCTACTACATAGCTTTATTTTACAACTTTCAAAAAGTATATTTTTAATACAACTTCGAATGAGATTGAAACTTATCGATATGTTGAAACATGCGAAAATTTCAGCTAAGTTAACTTCCAATTCATGCATCCCTTTCCCCTTTCTCTTTGGAGAGCATTCCATCTATTTTATGCAATTTTCTAGCTCATTTTTTCTTCAGTACATATCAAAAGTATTAAATATTTTGGTTTTTAGTTCTTTGACGGGTTTTTAAAAATAAGGCCAATCCTATGTTTAAAATGAAAAAAATACTGGATCAGGTCGTATTGGATGGGGCTTATATAAATTAAATTAAAAGATTTATTAAAAAAATTCCACATATACATACACATATGTAAGCGTCAAGTGGCGTCTACGTAATCCGAATGCAGAATTGTGTTCGGATGCTGCGTATTTACTGCTTATTTCACTGCGTATTTTTTGATACATTATGTTTTCTACGTATTTTTTGCATATTTTTTGTGTATTTAGTGAGTATTATTTATTTGTTAATTATTTACCACGAAAAAATTATGTCTCAAAAAATATGCAACAAAATAAGCACATCCCAATAGGTTCGGATTGCGTACACAATAATTACTCCTCGCATAGCCACGTCCGGTCGGCACCTAATAATTTTTGGAAGTCTTGCCAGAGCTTTCTTCCGATGATCAGTGACAAAGCTTTGAAGATGAAGTGAAGGTAGAGATTTAGGTGAACTGTTGTCACATAACTGTTGGATTCCGCAAATCAGAAATCTGTAGATCTAGCCGATGTCAGGTGCCCTAGCAGGACTTCAAGATCATCTCAAGCTCGCGAGGGACTACGCGCTCGAAGGCCTTTATGACACTTCTATTATTTTTTTTGATGGCGTCATTGCACAGATCAACAAGTAATCTTTCTGTTTTCTCTTTTATTGCCCTAGAAAAGGATGCGAATATTTGATTGTGCAATATGTTAAAGTTTATACCTATCCTTGTTCCACATTCTGGTTAATATGTTCTAGTGCACAGCTCTCTAGAAAGCTTCATTAGGAGCCTTAGTTGATTACTGCAGAATCAATGGACAGTCCTGATAGGTTTTCCATGCTTTTTGCTCAGTATATGAGTTAGAATTAGAATCCCTCTAAAATGTTATTTCCTCAATCTGCAAGCAAAATCTTTCCAAGAAATTTGTCTTTTAATCTATCTGAAGCTACTCAAACATGAAATAAGCCTGCCTACGATTCATGTAAAACTGTCTTTTTGCTTGGAAGATTTTTAAAGCATGTAAATATGCAGTTTTCTTTGTCCGTATCTGTATTTGGTTAGCAAGAAACAATCAGCTCTATGATGCTGATTTAGTAGGGACTCCAGATTTAATTTCTATTTAACTATTCTCTAATCATGATAATGTAAAATGACTTTGACCAAGGTTTTCCTTGAATAAAGAGTGCGGTGATTTGTCTCAGGCATTTGAATGCTCTTGATGATGCTGTTATTCGCACAAAATGGATGGACTGCAAAAAGGCCATTTCTGAGGAAATAGAAATTGTAAAACAATTGGATGCTGAAATAAGGGCCTTTAAGGAAATTCCAGGGTCGAGGAGGTCCTCATCTCCACCACTTCCAACAAAATCCTTTGTTTTCCAACCATTGGATGAATATCCAACATCATCAAATGTTCCCTTGGATGATCCTGATGTGTGGAGACCACCTAGTCGAGATAGCCAGCAATATGGAAGTAGAAGATCAACCAGGAGCAGTCCAGCTGGTGCACGGAAGTCTTCAGATGCAACATGGGCACGTGGTTCATCTAAATCAGGAACTGTTGGCCGTGGAGCCAAGTCTAATGCTAGCAAAGGTGGCTCAAGTATTAGATCCTCAACCTCCTCTGGGTTGATAGGGAAAAAAGGCAAATCAACTAGCAAGTTAGATTCACAGGTAATTTCCTCATTTGATTATTTATTTATTTAGTTTACAATTTATTATTGGTGTATGATCATGAATAGTTTTGTTCTCTTCATTTTATATTCTTAATATTATGACTATTTAGATTTTTGGACTAGCTTTTTTACCTGGATTTTGAGAATTCTGGTTACTGACTGATTTGAGTATTTTTAGATTGGTGATGCTGAAGAAGGAAAGCTAAAGAAGGGACAGTATGAAGGACCGGATCCTGATTTAGCTGCAATGCTTGAGAGAGATGTCTTGGAGACAAGCCCAGGTATAAGGTGGGATGACGTTGCAGGGCTAAGTGAAGCCAAAAGATTGCTAGAAGAAGCTGTTGTGCTCCCTCTTTGGATGCCTGAATATTTTCAGGTACGTTATTTTGATTTCATGTTTAAGCATAGCACCATTACCTTTTTGTGCACTTGCAAAAATTTTCTGCTATCAAAAGCCAAAAGGATGTTTGATTGTCAATGATATAATTTAGTCATTTTGGGCACTTTTGCGATGCTGCACAAGTGGTTGGCCTCGTATAACATAAATGTTCTTAAATGTGTTTAAGTGTTCAAGTACTAACTAGTTCATATTAGGACTATACGGACATCTTCTTTTAATCTGAGTCAAGCACATGGCCATCAACTAGTATTTTACAATATAGGCAAATGGAGAGCTGCAGTACATCAAGTTACTCATTGACAGGGTTCTACATTCTTATATAAACTTTTTTTTTGGTGCTAATAATAGTGGAATCTATTTTATGAGGTAGGCAGTGAAGCTATGGTGAGAGGAATTTTTGACTTGGCAAAATTTAGCCAATTTCAGATAATCAATTTAGTTAGTTTAGGAAGATCAACGACGAAAGCGATTTTTGTGTAAAGATAAGATATAAAGGGCTTTCATATGTTTTTTTATTGGCATTGAGGATGCATATGTTCAAAAAAACATGAATGTTGAATTGGTTCGTAATAAGGAAGAAAGGTATATGTGTCAAAGGAATGTTGAAAAGATTAAGGATTTGTCTTCTATATCACTGACTAGTATCATATGTAGTTGTAGAATAACCATAAAGTTTTCAATCATCGTATGATTACATTAAAGGTCAACATCGACTTAATATCTTTAAGTATTGGTTATGGAGATGGTTACAAATTTATGTAGGATCTATAGGATTTTGATGGGGAAGGTATCAACTTGATTTATGGCCTTTTAGGGTGATAGAGAAAGGTTTACGTGGGTAATGGGAAAAGAGATATTTAGGGTTTTGCTTTGATTTGAGGTTTAAGCTTTTAGGATTTAAAAGGGTAAGCGTTTCTTGGAGTAAAATGGTGAGTAACTCCAGATTCGAGGTCTGGGATTTTAGAGAACTGATGGATGGATTTAGGATTAATAGTTAATGTGTTGTGTATTTTTAGTTTTATTGATGCAAAAATTGTTCTCTATGTAGTAGGATTTTGGTCAGGATATCTTGGGGTTAATAGGGACTTGAGGCCTTGGGATCTTGTGGGGATTGTGGGGGTTGTGGGAGAATGTGTAAGATTGTTTTAAAGGGGTAGGAGGTGTCTTGCGATGATGATGATTATGATCTAAGATTGGCTGAGTCTAGCTTGAGGAGAGGGAAGTTTTATTGGGAGAGAGGAGGTATGTGAGACGAAAAAGATAATTAAGGACTCACTAAAGCCCTAGGGGATTATCCACCAAGATTTGCTAGATAGTAGAGTAATCATCAAGTCTTTCCACTCGAAATTTACATAAGCAAAATATAATTTTTATTTAATAAATTTGAAAGTATAATGTAAGGTCCTATTTATAGACTTTTTAAATGCAAGCTAAGTTTGGAAAATCCTTAGGAGCTAGAGCTAGTAAACTACTATTTCATGGATTTATTAGTTGGCATAATATAAAGGAAAGAAAATAAGCAAAATATAATGAAATTTAAAGATTCCACAAGCAATAAAATTTTGTTATGCCAAATAAGGCGGCTGGAGTGGTCTTAAAATCAAGCAATCTATCTAGTCTCCGCCTCTTGAATTGGTGTGGCTGATCTATCCAATAAAGGATTTAAAATTAAGCTTCTTAATTATTCTCTATTGATTTAGAAGGAAAGAGGGGTCGTCCACTAGTTTTGTTGGATGGTTGTGGATGATCAACAACCCAAATCTTGATGCAGTATCTTGGATTTTAACCTTTTTCTTGGCTTTTTGGTTGTCCTTTCATCTCAAAGGATAATTAAGGTGAGATTCTTTAATGTATTATTTTCATAGATGCCAAATGTCAAATTCGTGAGGCATTATTTGAAGTAAATGAGAGTTTAAAACAATAGATAAAATATTTAAAATATTGAATGATAGAATTAGTATGTGAAAGGTTGAGTGTATAATATATAATTTTTGAGGTGTAATATTAGTAATTATCAATTATTATTATAAAAAAAATTGATCTCTAAGTGTGATGGGTTTTTGAGATCTATTATATATAAAAATCGAGATGTAACCTTTGGAGTTAGGACCATATGATTAAAATGGAAAAGTGACTTAGAAGTATTGTGCTACGAAGTTATCATGTTGACTTAAAGATAAGTTTTTATAAATCTGCTAGTAGGCTGATATGTTCAATAGATTCAAGTAATTGACTATTAGAAGTCGTGATAAATAACTGAGCAAAGAGAAAATGAGAATACTACCTATGAATGTGCAGCAAAATAGGGAGGATAAATTAAAGAATGATTATATTTCTAGAATAGTTTGAGAAACATTTTTTGAAGATACACTAATTGAAAAGTAGGCCTAAGTGATTATAAACATGTATAACAAAGAGTAGAAAATATACCTGTTAATTGGATTGATAAAAGTAATGTTAGAGGATTAGGAGGGAAATGATGTAAAGTAACATGGATAAAAATTATTCAAAACGATTTGTGAAGAATTGGTTTTACACCTCAAGATACACCGGTAGGAATGGATGAAAAATGATGATTTATAAGTTCACTTGAAGTATATGTGATAAAGATTGAAGAAATGGTTTGTCTTTTTAGGCATGTGTATTTAGTGACATTATAATCTGACTCCTATCTTAAATTTGTTGGAGGGCCTTTTTATGTCCTAAAGGTGAGTTGGTGTGCCTTTCTAGCAATCCTCCATTGGATGTTTACTTTAAAAAAAATCATCTTTGAATGTTAATTAATGTTGCAATCATATGCCATTACCATACTTACCATTAACACAAAATAGCTCATGTTGTAGCTCATAACGTAGTGAGAATGCTCCCATACATTGTTATTGGCGTGGGTGTTCAAAATAGTATGCACCATTTATGAGTTAAGTGTTCTATATTGTTGCCGAGGGAAGATTTATTTTGTTGGAGACTTACGAAAGATGCTTTACCTACTAACCTTTGGCTACAAAATAGAAAACTTCGGAGCAATAGTCTATCTCCTAGAGGATGTCAACAAATAGAAGATCCCAATCATATTTTGGTTAGTTGCTTCAAACTGAAGGAAGTCTTTTCAATCCTCAAACAATGGGGTATCATACTTCCAGAATATCTGAATTTTTCAGAAATGATACAACAGTTGAAGAAAAAATCTGTTTAAAATCCGGAACTTGTTCGTATTTACTGCTCAGTTTTATTTAATTCATGGAGAACAAGAAATGCATGTAAGCATGGAGGTAACCTCTTCTCACCTTCTACAATAGCTGCTAATGCTTTGATTTCTTCCAATAAGCCATTCAAATATCCAATTTGAGAAACTGGAATATCAACCTACTCTATGAGCTGAATGAATATTTTTGGCATCCCCCTCCTCTAAATTGGATTAAAGTGAATGTAGATGCAGCAATTATTATGAATAATATGGTTGGAATTGGTGGCGTGATCAGAGATCATCATGGAAGATTTATTTCAGCATTTGGTGAGCAGCTCCTTCATTGGGATTTATCTCAATTGAAACTTAGGGCTGTTTTTTCTATAAGAAGAAGAATAGAAGATTGGATGCTTGATAAAGAAGGCATATGAATAGAAGGAAATAATATTAATATTATCAAAATCCTGAAAGATTCGTTGAGTAATTCTCGAAGTATTGAAGCAAATTGTGATCAGTTTGATTTGAAGTTTCTTAATGATTTTAAGAATGTTATTATTCATTTTATTCCAAGAAATTGTAATAAAGTTGCTCACTATGGTGCAAAACTTGCGTTGAGTGGCAACTTTTATTTTGATTTATTTTGTAATAAGCTTCCTCCAATAATCTTTTGATTGGCGAAGGAAGAATATGATAGAATAGCAATCATTTAGTTTGTACCTCTTTATTTTGAATAAAATGCTTGATGCAATTTCTCAAAAAATAAAAATAAAAAAGTGCTATAGTGCACAGTGCAAAACTCAAATACCAGTTTGGGAGATATAATGAGCATGAGGCCATTTGCATTAAAAATGAGCATGATGATTTAGATTATAATGCAGGGGATGATTCTAGTTTTTGAATATGAATATGGGATTTAAAAACACTAATACTTCTGTTTTAAGCACAAGCATTCCCTTAAGAATATTTATGCTCTCTTTATTTATGAAAGCCTAAGATCCATTGTTTTGCATTTTGTTGTAATATTATGTATTGTTACAATCATGATAGTTTTGTTTCTTATTCTAATTATTTTCTTTGCTACAATAGTTTACTTTCAATTTGAATTTTATTTTGAATCACATTCCATGATCATTTTTGTGTTTAGGGCATCCGGAGGCCATGGAAAGGTGTTCTTATGTTTGGCCCACCTGGCACGGGAAAAACACTGCTGGCAAAGGCTGTTGCTACTGAGTGTGGAACAACATTTTTTAATGTTTCATCGGCTACTTTGGCTTCAAAATGGCGTGGGGAGAGTGAGCGCATGGTTCGTTGCTTGTTTGATCTTGCTAGAGCTTATGCTCCTAGTACCATATTCATTGATGAGATTGATTCTCTTTGCAATGCTCGAGGGTATGTAACCAGGAAGCACCTTTTTTTTTTTTCTCTTGTCTCATGTATCTTTCTATTCTCCTATTTGTTTTGGTGCATGACATACAGGAATGTGTACACTAAATTGTTGACAATCATGAAATGGAGTGGTTTTGCTTTATTGTTCTTCCATTTGATGGCTCTATTTCTGGTGACAAGACAATTAATATATTATTTTTATTTAATTGGGAAATGTGAGATTATTTGTTTGTTATTATATTAAATTTTAAACTATTAAAAGTTACTTTAATATAGAGCTTCGGGAGAGCACGAGTCCTCCAGAAGAGTGAAGTCTGAACTTCTAGTTCAGGTAGATGGAGTAAACAACAGCTCGGTTAGTGAAGATGGAGGGAGGAAAATAGTGATGGTTCTTGCTGCAACCAATTTTCCATGGGATATTGATGAGGCGCTGAGGTATAGTCCTATGATTATTCTAGGCTAAAAGTTTTGTTGATGTAGAGTTTCAAAATGTCTGGAAAGTTCGTTCTGTGTTTGACATATCATTGTGAAATGGCGTACAGTTAGAAATTTTTAGCCTTGTTAAGTTGCATTCAGCCACTTGTTATTTTATGAATGCAGGAGGCGGCTGGAAAAACGTATATACATACCTCTTCCCAATTTTGAGAGTCGCAAAGAGCTTATCAAAATTAACTTGAGGACTGTCGAAGTATAACTTCTGATCTATTAGTACTATTTTTAGAATCACTTTTGGAGCTTTACAACTTCTCTTTTACCATTTCATTCCATGCAGTTCTTTTGCATGCAAGTCGTTTTGATGCTTCTACTAGGTCTCTTCGGTTTTCTGATTTTGTAGCCATTCTTCATTTGAGTTTTGCATTGTCTTTGTTATTTTTTTTTTCTATTGTAGTTTTAACATCCAATTCATGTTCAGAAATTTGAATGCCTGCCCAATATTTTCATTTAGATTTCTCTGCCCCCCTCTGCCGCAGCAGTTTTAATTAGTGTTTTATGCATCAAAAACTAATTTTTCAGTTAGCCATCATATTGCTCATTGATGTAGATTATTAAGGTTTCCATTAAAATTCTTTGAAAAAAAAAGGAATATTGAATGAAAATTTGGCTTTTGTATGCTCATACCATGTATAATTAGAGAAATATGCTCCTTTTTTATTTTCCAGTGGAAATATGTCTGAAAATTTATTTTGAACCAAATACTTCTGATATTGAGAATTAGGAGTTGAAGTCTCTTGACCCCTAAAATATATCAAACGGCCAAGACGTGCACGTCCAATGAGGTTGATCGTTGATCGATAAGGCACCGCACAAGCTAATACGACATATAGCGACAATACATGAAATCACTCAAAATGACATTCAATCATAAAACAAATCCCGCAGTTGCCACAACGTCAAATTACTCAAATGAGACCTCTCACAAGAAAGTTGAGCAAATGCAATAAAAAATATTAAATTAATTGTGCGATGATACACGAGATTGGCCGCATGATCTCCGTTTTTAAAACGAATGGGGCATGCGCATCCCAAAATCCTAGAAAAGAGACTCATATTGCCCGGGTGTTGGCACAAGAAAATTGACGAAAATTCCACCCTTGCGTAACATGAGATTGAATCCACTGAAATGCACCTTCGGAGTCAGTGCAGGAAAATTCTTAGGGTTCTTTCTCACACTCGACGGAATCAAAGTCAACCCTGACAAGGTATAAGTCATAATCGACATGAAGATGCCCATAACTGCGAAAGAAGAAGTCTACTGACTCACAGACTTGCTCGCCAGACTCAACCGTTTCATCCCTCGACTAGGAGAAAGATGCACCTTCTTCTTCAAAACCCCTTAGGAGTGCACAAAAATTCTATTAGGGAGAAGACTGTATAGCCGCCTTCCAATAGCTGAAGAGTCTCCTGACATCACTGTCAATCTTTCAAAACCCTCGACCATGCGAAAATTTATTCCTATACCTTGTGTTCAAACACAAGGTGGATTGACCAAGTATTTCCCTATTTCGGTTGGGTTACATCAAGGATCAGCCTTAAGCCCATATCTTTTTGCTTTAGTCATGGATGTTCTCACTAGACATTTGCAAGAGGATGTACCTTGGTGTATGCTTTTTGCTGATGATATTCTTCTTGTTGATAAGACTAGAGAGGGAGTTGAAGGTAAACTTGAATTATGGAGGTCAACCTTAGAGTCTAAAGGTTTTCGCTTGAGTAGATCTAAAACGGAATATATGGAGTGTAATTTTTGTAGTAATAGACCTAGTGAGGGGATTGTGACTTTGGGCGATCAAGTCATTAATAAGAGTACACGTTTTAGATATCTTGGATCTATTGTTTAGAGTGATGGTGAAATAGATGGGGATATTATCAGCAGAATTCAAGTTGGATGGTTGAAGTGGAGGAATGCATCGGGCTTGTTATGTGATAGAAATGTACCCCTCAAACTTAAGGGAAAATTCTATAAGATGGTAGTGAGGCCTGCAATGCTTTATGGTGCCGAATGTTGGCCATTAAAAGAGAAGCATAATTCTAAGTTAAGTGTGGCAGAGATGAGGATGCTCAGGTGGATGAGTGGCTTTACCCTTAGAGATAGGATACGAAATGAGCATATACGTGCAAAGGTAGGGACAGCTCCAGTAGAAGATAAGAATAGAGAAAGTCGCCTTAGATGGTTTGGTCACATAAAACGGCGGTCTTGCGATGACCCGGTTAGGAGAGTAGAGGTATTTGATTTGACTTATGTTAAGAAAGGTAGGGGTAGACCTAAAAAGATTTGGTTAGAAAATATTAGGAATGACCTTTCTTTATTAGATTTAAACGAGAATTTGACTTTTAATAGGACACAATGGAGAAAAAGGATTCATGTAGCCGACCCCACGTAGTGGGATAAAGGCTTGATGTTGTTGTTGTTGTTGTACCTTGGAGTCGACGAAGACGCCATCGGTTTTGTACTTGTTAAGGAGAATGGAAAGAAGCAATGGCTCATTTACTACGTGAGCCGCATGCTTCGAGGCACGGATCAGAGATATCCCATTTTGAAAAACCTTGCATGGGCACTAGCCAACTTAGACAGAAGGTTGCGACCTTGTTTCCAGGTCTATTCTATCCAGGTGCTAATTGATCACCCTCTCAAGGAAGTGCTTGCCAAGCTTGACCACTCAGGCCGACTACTCAGGTGGTCTGTCGAACTCAGCGAGTTCTCCATAACCTACATGCTAAGGACAACTATAAAGGCTTAAGGACTCGCCAACTTTCTCATATGATGCACTACCAAAGATGGACTCAGAAACGACGACCCAACCTCATTGGATACTGTATGTAAACAGTGGCTCAAGCGAGTAAATGGTTAGAGCAGACATTGTGCTAAAAAGCCCTACCATAATCGTCATCACTAAGTCTGACAACTTCGTATTTCAAGTCCCTGGCAATCAAGATGAGTATGAAGACTTACTCTTAGACTGTGATTTGAAAGTTCGTGAGGGGTTTTATGCCCTTATGAACTAGTCCCGAGGCTAACCAAGAGGGAGGGAGGGGGGGGGGTGAATTGGATAATTAAAAACTTCTTTAACTAAAAGAAAAATCTTTTTTATATATTCTTTAATTAAATCAATAATAAAAAAATTAATCAGAGATTTCACCTAAAAATTTAATCGTAGTAAAAATAAAGTGCAGGAAATAATCAGAAAGAATACACCAGATTTATAGTGGTTTGGTCCAACCTAACCTACGTCCACTCATCGGAGGCATTCTCCTAGTATTGCACTAAACCTTTAGTGACTCTCCTTTAGCCCCCACAGCTAGGCGGAGAAGCCCTTACAAAATCACTTCCACCTTCACCGTTGTGGAGGAGTAGTCGGGTCCTTTGACATCAAAGAGATCTTCTTCTTCCCAAAACTTCATTCAAGACGAACCTTGAATCCGATGGTAATAAGGTGCAAGCTTGCCGGAGCAACCGTGTGAAACCCCCTCCACACTCCCTTGAAAACCCCCTCCAAGGTTCTTCTCTCTCTCAAACTCCACTCTTTTCTCTATCCCTTTCAAGTTCTCTCTTCAAGTTTTCTCCAGAAGAACAAATACATAATGGCTGCCAAAGACACTTACAAACTGCCTTGACAAAGCTTAAACAGAGGGCTTTGAAAAAACCTAAAAATTAATTTTGGCAGCAAAGATTATTCAGGATGATCCTGAGATCGTCTTGTATGATCAATACAAAATTGTCCTTCAAGTTGGATCACCCAGCATAGTCCTGGACGATCAGTTCACCAATTTGTATAGATCGTTCGGGACAATCAAGCGATCGTCCGGGACGATTAATTCAAGATTGGTGGCAATCAACATATCGTCCCGAGACAGTCTCGGGACGTCCAGGACGATAGCTTGAACGATCATAGGAAATATGGTTTTCGTCTTGGATACTACAACAACATCAAGCCTTTATCCCACTACGTGGGGTCGGCTACATGAATCCTTTTTCTCCATTGTGTCCTATTAAAAGTCAAATTCTCGTTTAAATCTAATAAAGAAAGGTCATTCCTAATATTTTCTAACCAAGTCTTTTTAGGTCTACCCCTACCTTTCTTAACATAAGTCAAATCTAATACCTCTACTCTCCTAACCGGGTCATCGCAAGGCCGCCGTTTTATGTGACCAAACCATCTAAGGCGACTTTCTCTAATCTTATCTTCTACTGGAGCTACTCCAACCTTTTCACGTATATGCTCATTTCGTATCCTATCTCTAAGGGTAAAGCCACTCATCCACCTGAGCATCCTCATCTCTGCCACACTTAACTTAGTATTATGCTTCTCTTTTAAAGGCCAACATTCGGCACCATAAAGCATTGCAGACCTCACTACCATCTTATAGAATTTTCCCTTAAGTTTGAGGGGTACATTTCTATCACATAACAAGCCCGATGCATTCCTCCACTTCAACCATCCAACTTGAATTCTGCTGATAATATCCCCATCTATTTCACCATCACTCTGAACAATAGATCCAAGATATCTAAAACGTGTACTCTTATTAATGACTTGATCGCCCAAAGTCACAATCCCCTCACTAGGTCTATTACTACTAAAATTGCACTCCATATATTCCGTTTTAGATCTACTCAAGCGAAAACCCTTAGACTCTAAAGTTGACCTCCATAATTCAAGTTTACCTTCAACTCCCTCTCTAGTCTTATCAACAAGAAGAATATCATCAGCAAAAAGCATACACCAAGGTACATCCTCTTGCAAATGTCTAGTGAGAACATCCATGACTAAAGCAAAAAGATATGGGCTTAAGGCTGATCCTTGATGTAACCCAACCGAAATAGGGAAATACTTGGTCAATCCACCTTGTGTTTGAACACAAGTAATAGCTCCTGCATACATATCTTTAATGATTTGAATATAAGCATTATTGACTCCTTTCTTTTCAAGAACTCTCCATAGCACTTCTCTTGGAACTTTATCATATGCTTTTTCTAAATCAATAAATATCATATGTAGATCATCCTTATTTTCTCTATATTTCTCCTTCAAACCTCTTAATAAATGTATGGCTTCCATAGTCGACCTACCCGGCATGAATCCAAATTGATTTTGAGAAACATTAGTATCACGCCGCAACCTATGCTCCAAAACTCGCTCCCAAAGTTTTAAAGTATGACACATTAACTTAATACCTCTATAATTCGCACAATCTTGAACATCACCTTTATTCTTAAAAATGGTTTTCGTCTTGGATGATTTAAGAAAATCAAATATGTCGGCAAACATTGTCCAGTACGATATACAGATCGTCCAGGACGATCTGATTGAATAATTTAAGCATAATTAGTACCCTAATCACATGATTAATTTGGGCATAATTGATATTGATTGTCCAGGAAAATTAGAACAAAATTTGAATCTTAAATCCTGGCCTAAATTATCATTGGTGGCTAT